CCATGCTCCCATGTCACTTGCTTGAATGAAGTACATCATCCTATTTTTCCAATAGGCATAATTAGCCCCATTAAAGAAAGGAGGCTTGTTGACGGGCATCGAATCGAGACCGGAGTCGAAGTTTGAAGTAGAGGCCATTGATGACTTTGATTATCGATATAACTCTTCCCGAATCGACTCAAGAGGCGATTAAACCTTCAAATGAGTTAGGCTCTGATACCAATTGTTGAGTTAATCGATTGACGAAATTGAACAAGAGGGGGATGAATTGGCAATAAAAATTTTGGTGGAAGCTTTTGCAGAAAATTGAAAGAAATTGCACAGGGATTTAGAGTGGTTCGACTTTCTCAACCAAAGTCTACGTCCACTACCTTAGCTATCCATACTAAAGATTTTCCACAAAATCACTAATTTGTCTTTCTTTTGAGAACAAAGAGTAACCTTACAAACCCTCAAGAATTATACCCCAAATTCTTGAGAACACTCTCTCCCAAAGAGAATACAAATTTGTAAACTTACAAGGAAATCCTCACAAGGTAGATTGTTTGCACAATTCTAGAACAAAGAAAAGAACACTCAAAAATGAATACAATTGAGCACAATAAGTATTCTTGAAAGCAAGATGAATATTGAATGAAAAATAGGCTTGAAATGCTCAAACTTGAGGTTTGATGCTTTCTCTTTGATTCTCTCTTGATTCTAGTTGCTTGATATTTCTTGTTTTTGATCAATGGCTTCTAAGCTTTCTTAAATACGCCTTGAATCACTTCTGAATGTTGGGGATGATTAGATAGTCGTTTTAGTGTGAAAACAATTAATAAAACAGCTTGGAGCGTGGGGAGAATCGGTACCCCCTATGGGGAATCGGTTCCCTAAGTGTAAAATTCAAATATTTCGACCGTTACACAGGGGGAATCGGTACCCCTGGGGGGAATTGGTTCCCTCCGAGCATACTGGAATTCTCGGAGCCAAACCATTAAGGGGGGAATCGGTTCCCCCTGAGCAATCTGGAATTTTTGGCTTTGAAATGGTTCGAAATACTTTGTAAAATTATTTTGAAATTGTTTTAAGATTAAAACTTAATTTTACACTTGAGTAAGGATTAAAAATGATTTTTGAAAGATTTAGAGTAATGTTTTGATATTCAAATAATTATATCGAATATACTTAGAAAACCTTTATTGCACAATCTTAAAATTCATTTAACTTAATTTGTTATATCAAAATATCAAAATGTTTTCAACAGAGGTTCAAGATTAGCTTCCGATTGTACCAAATCCAACTTTATTGAGGGAGCGTGGTCGTCCAAAATCCAATCAAATTCATTGTGATATGGATATTCGAGAAAGATCTAGACAAGACAGAAGATGTGGGCATTGTAGAAACCAGGACACACTAGAAAAACATGTCCACTTCTGCTGTCATCAAGTAACAATTGATGAGGAACTGATGTAGTTGTTTATCAAATAAGAATTCTTGTACTTTAATTTGCATTTACTTGAAGTTAATGTCATTCGATAACCGCTGATGAAGAATAAAAAAACGATACCAGAATATGAGATTGGATGTTGGCGTTATATGTGATTATAATAAAAGAGATAATAAGTGACAAACTGAAGAAAGTTATCGAACATAATTATTAAATTTTATCAAACTAATAACAATTTGGTATTTGAATATAATTTTAAATACAACAAACATATAATAAGTATTAAATGGTAAATGATAAACAAATTACAATAACTGATATTAAATGGTAATAAACAAAATTAACCAAAATATATTAACAAAAAGTCCAACAAATTTAACAAAATAAATTAAAATAAATCCAACCAAATTAATGAAATAAAGTAAGTATTAAATGATAAATAATAAAAAATTACAATGAAAAAATCAAATAAACAACTAAATACAAATATAATAAAAAAATAAAATCCATCGATGCCTGCGACGCGAATGTGTTCCGCAGGGCGGTAGTTGTCGGTCTCGATGAGGATTTCTTTGTATCATTGGTTGTGACTCCTCGCTGCCATCATCATCACCACCATCAACATCGTCGTCGTCGTCGTTGTGAGCAGCTACATTAGGTTGATGAGGAGCTGATGACGATGAAACACCTCCATAGAATAAGGACTCTGGAGGTGTATGACTGACTATCCCATTGGCCTGTGAAAACTGGGAAAACTCATAAAACCCAGACATCGCTGAGTGTGAAAACTGTACAAGAGGTGTATGTGTTGCGACCATGGGTGATGAGACTGAACCCGCCAAAATGTGGGTAAATGAACCCCAAGTCGGATATGCAAACATAGACTCATAATATCCTCCAGGAGGGGTCATAAAACTCTATGACGGTGGCAGCGACAGGGTCATAAAACCAGGTGAAGGTGGCGACGGCGGTATCGGGTAAGGGAACGGCGGTGGCGACATCATATATGGTTGCGGTATGTAAGTCGTTGTAGACGGTGGCTACAGTGAAGGTCCTACTGGTGCAGCTGAGGATGAATCGGAAGCACCTGCTCTCCTTTCATGAGTCGGGGGATGATGGTGTTGTGTCAGTAAACGTCTCTGTCGACGTCGCTGAAAAGTCCGCCCTCGTGCATCCTCGGAAAGCAGAAACGGTTTCCCGTTACTGTCTAACCACTCATAATAACCGTCAGTAACCATCAAGAGATCAGTAAAAATGGACTCTCTACGGGGAAGACACTGATGTCGATCCTCCCACAGCACGACCCACTCATGATGCCTCACTAGTCAATCTGTATCGGTCTTGCCACGTCTATCTGTGCTATGCAACTCGTCCATATTGCGAGGTGCTTCCGGAATTGGTTGAAAACAACCAAATTGTCGGAGCACGCGAACAGTGGAGTGCCACTCGACGATCGCATAACATATCAAAGGGACCATCGCTATCCAAACATTTAATGGGCCCCTCAACTCAGGTGGGATCACTATCCTCACATCATCATTAGAATATGATACCCATTCAAACTAAAACAAATATATATATTTTTTATCAAAATAATAATCTAATTATACAACTATAATCTAAAATCGATTTTTAAACATTAAAATGCATATTTGTGTGACAGTCTTCTGATCGATTAACACCATAATTTTTTTCTAAATCATCAGGTAGCTCCTGATGATTTTTCCTATCAGTAGACCACCTATTCAAGGAAAACAAAATTTATTATACACTGTATAAAATGATTAATAAACGAAATCAGTTTTATAATTACCTCAATAATTGCGGAAATACAAATGGGTTCTTGACAACGGGACATAAAAAGGGCAATTGATATCATGCCCAAGACTGCAGCAGTAGGAGACATCCGCCGATAGCATTTTTTCTGTAGTCAGTGGCTCGACACATCTCCCTGTACAAGAAAGCCAAAACTGTCGAGCCCCAACTGAGTGATCCGGCCAGACGAAATTCGACAAGATGTCGCAACCACATACAGTGAACTTGGTTGCGCGATTTGTCTGGCATCAGTAACCCTCCTATCAGCTGTAGTATGCATGCCCGTGCATACATTTTAACTTCATCATCAGAGTCGTCCTCGCTCAACTCCCAAAAATTGGCATCTAACCAATTTAACGTTATCCGACCACTGTTAAAACTTTCCGGGACACTTCCTAGATAATCCCGGCACAAAGCAGTCCATGAACCGTGCGTCATCCCCGATATCACATCTCCATCCACCAGAAGCCTCAGGTGCATAGAAACATGCTCAAGTGTAATCGTGCACTCTCCGTACGGAAGATGAAATGTGTGGGTCTCCAGCCTCCATCACTCAACTAAGGCATCAATAAGACCTGATTCTATCTTACAGTGACCCTCATATCTATCTATGTGACCGAATCTAGCCTCTACTAAATACGGCAAGACACGACTAGATATCACTAACTTAAGGTTCCTAATAAAAGTATCTAATACACGGTCTCTCTCCTAAAATTAAATAATTAAAAAATTAATTTTTAAACTAATAATCATGCATTAAATAAATAAATAAATTATTACTAATAATTTAAATTATATTAAAACGTAAAAATGTTACCGTATTAGCAAAATGTCACGATATATGATTTCCATCCAAGCGAAGTAGACCTCATTCCATTTTATATCTGCAAAAAAAATTAAATAAAATTTAAAAAAAATTAAATACTTATATAAATTAAAAAAATATTAAATATAATAAAATATACATTAAACAGTTAAAATAGAATATAAGAGTATTTTATAGAAGTTGAGATGATTTAGTGTAATGAAAGTGATTGAGAATTGAAGTATTTATAGGGAGGGGTGGGGTGTGAACGGTAGGGGTAAGTGAGTAATTAAACCTAAGACTCGTCGCAGGGGACGCTTTTCTGACGCATGTCAGATTTACAGGTAAAACGTGCCGCAAGGGCGCAGCTTACTCTACGTGGTGTCAAATCAACGTAAATTACGCTGTAGGGAGAGCGTCTTACCCCATGTAACGCCAAATCAACGTAAAACGCGTTACAAGGGACACAACTTACTGTAAAAGATGTTAGATCAAAAAAAATAATCTAAAAATTATCTGACAAAAAAAATATGATATAAGTGATATTTTAGGAAAAACGTCTTTTTAGTACGCTAGTTTTTCCTCAAATTAAAACTTAGACAATTATATGATATTTTTATATAAATAATTTTTAAATGAAACGCTATGTTGATTTATATTCATTACCATGATAATTTACGTAAAAAGTAGCCTACTCCTGCCAACCAATGGGGTCCACTAGATATCATTAATAATTATGACATTAAAAAAAGCAAATCACCAAAACCTATTTACAAAATCCAACGACCCATTATTATTGCATAGAATACAAATTTTTAGAAGTTTACATCATAAAAACCAAGACATGTCTGTTTTTTCAATAATAGTACAGTCACTAGGCAAGAGATTACACAGTGAATTGAAGGGGAGCATGCCGAGGAACAAGACGACTCGATGTTCTTTTCTATTTTCTTATCCCCACAATGCCCTTGAATCCTTCATCTTTTTACATTAGAGTGCAAGCATTAGGGTTCTCATCACTGAACATCTGAGGCGGATATCCATACAACTCCGTAGCATGCCTTGGCGGGTAGTAATTATATTCATTCTTCTTCACTTCCACCGCCACTTTGTTCTCCTCCGTCGCAACCGGCGCTTCTTCGACGGCTGCTGCTTTTGCCTCCGTGCTTTGATCGGCTCCGTCCTTTTTAACTTTGATCTCCTCTCCTCCTCCATCTTTTTTCTCTTCCTTCTTGCCATCTTCGGCTTTTTCTTTTCCTCCGTCGTCCTTGCTCGCCTCCGGCGGATCTTGCTTCATTATCGCCGCCTGCTTCCCGGTTCTTTTACACACGTACGCCACCAGTTCCGGTGGTTCGAAAACTCCCTTCACCGTCACCTCGAAACTCTTTAGATCTGCTTCAGCTGATTCAACGCCTGAAAAATACCACTTGCTCAAATTAAAAGTTCAATTAATTACGATTCTTAACTACATATAATCTGTAAATGGACCAACCTTTCATTTTTTGAATGCGTTTCTTGATTTCCTGAGCACAAGCTTCACAATGCATATTAACTTTCAGAACCACCGTGATCGGCACCGGCTGCAAATTCATCGCCGAGGAAAAAGGAAAGAAAAAAAACTTCGTCAGATTCGGGAATGTGGAAATATACTTTTTTATCAAGTTTATTTGTGAGAGACTGACCTCTTTTTTCTTCTCTTCAGGCTTAGGTTTCTCTTTTTCCTCTGATTTTTTCTCCTCCGGCGCCTGTGGTTTCGGAACCGGTGAAAGAAGCTCAACTTTCCGGTGACTCTTACTTTGAACTCTCTCGAGTACTTTCAAAGGATCAGCTTTCTCTCCTTTTACCACCACTTTGTTACTCTTACAATCAGTCGTTACATCTTCAACCCCTACAAATCACCAAAAAAGTGCATTAATGTCATCAAAATTCAAATCGAAGAAACAAAACTGAAGCAAAAGTTGTTTAGTTTTATGTTTAAAACCTTGAAAGCCCTTGAGACACCGACGAACTTTCCGAGCACACCCTTCGCAATGCATGTAAACCTTCAAAACAATCTCTTGCGGTGTTTCTTCTTTCAACTCTTCACCTTTCTTTTCCTCTGCTGGCTTTTCACCATCTTTCTCCTCCATTTTCTTCTCCTCTGCAGGTTTCTTTTCTTCCTGTTAGACAAATGAAATCCCAGAACATAAATAAGATTCAAGTAAACATGTAGTAAAAACTGGAAGATAATGGAGAATGTTTTAAGATCATTACCTCCCCCATTGATGAGAGCTTATTTGTTGTTTCTCTGATGTTTAAGAGACTTTTTTTTGGTGGGGTTCAGGTTTCTGAAAAGATTAAAACCATGTGAAACTAAACGGAGGGTGGTGGATTTTATCATCATTAATCGTATCACCATCAAAAGGATGGATGGTGTGTGAATATACCACACGACTCGTGATAACATGACGTGGCATTTCCTGAAATGCCACGTGTTTTAAGAGCATGGACGAGGTTTATACAATTGGTGGTTCGGAATTGGTTTTAAATTTACTCATAAGCTTTAAAAGGAATATTAACTTGATTATTAAATTTTAAATAGCATAATAGTTTAATCTTTAATTTTAGATTAAATATTAATTTAATTTTTATAATTAATGAAATAGACAACTAACATAAGAAAATTTAGATTTTAAAGTCGATCATGAAATGCATTTGCATCCGCCACTACAATTATTATTTTTGTTATGCTTTGATCCTTCTATTATATTTTTTATTCAAAATCATACCAAATATTATATTTTGATTTCATTTTAATAATTCATCGTTAAAAAATTAACAAAATCGTTGATGTAATATTTTTAAAAAATCAATGATGATGTGATATTATCATCACCATTAATATTTTAAAAGATAATTGATTGAAATAAAATTAAAATGCAATGTCAAATAAAATCTTAAATAAATAATTAAGTGATCAAAACATAGTGAAAATGATAATAAATGGTTAAATAATTATTTTAATAATTAAATAATAATGAAACCTCTCCAAATAAACGGTATATTCACCATGATTGGAAAGTACATATAATAAATAGATTGGTAACACAGCTAAATTGATTGTGGCTCTCAGCTTTTAAAAATAGGTGACAAAATAACAATTATATAACTGGTTAGATTTAACATCAAATTCGACCATAAGTACTGCATAATGATGACGTCGATTGCAGGTCCAATAATTATTTTTTCCTTATTATTATTATTATTATTATTATCATTTATAATTTTAAAAAAGAAAATAGAGAATTCGAGATTTTAAATTGCATCATTATAAGTCTCTAGATAAATCTGAATAAGTTAATAGAACCGATGAGTTCTTTTCTTTACAAATATATATATATATATATATTAAACAATAATAATAAAAATCTAATTTAATAATTAATAAAAATAATAAAATAAAGCGTTCACTAAAAAAATCCTTTTGTAGATAATTTTGTATTGCTTTGATTAGTCCCGTTTATTTTTAAAATAATATAATATTTATATTACACATTTAACATAATAAATCATGTTTCGAATTTAAATTAATGTTTATAAGTAAGAAAGTATTTAAAAATCCACTTAAACTCACAAGCAATTTAAGCCGACCATTAGCTTCCGGCAATAATTTAAGCCGACCATTAGTTATCTCAAAGTATGCTTTTTATTTTAAATTTGTCCCTAAACTTTTAAATATTTTATTTTCATCTCTAAACTATGATTACCGTTCTAAATTAGTCCTCAAACTTTTTGAACATTTCAATTTTATCTCAAACTATACGTGTATACTTATCACATCCCTTTTTAATAAAATCGTTGGGCCAAGTTATATTATTATATGTTTGAAAATACTTAGGTTAAATTATGGTAATCATAGTTTGGGGATTAATTTAGAAAGAGTGTCATTTTTTAGGGTTGAAATTCTAATGTTCAAAATTTTAAGGACTAATTTAGAATGAGAGTCATAGTTTAGGGATGAAATTGGAATATTTAAAAGTTTAAGGTTGAATTTAAAATGAGGGTCATAATTTTAGGACATGTGATGCAATTAACTCTTTACTTTTTAATTTAAACTATCGAAATTAAACTCAAATGGAGTACTTTAAAACAAATAAAATATCCCATGTTTATAACATATAATTTTAAAAATTATGCCAACTCTAGTAAATGAAAAAAAAAGAGGCTAAAAATTCAAAGGGTGGGGAATATGGTTGACTCGTAAGCGCACAATCCAAAGGGAATTATAAAGGAATTGACATTGTGGCTCTGAGTCACGAGAAATGCGAGATGACTCTGATTTGACTCAGTTTTGAAATTATCAGGACTAAACTCTAAATTCATAATGTTTATCTAAAGAGAGGTAAATGGTACTATGTATATATCCTCTAGAATAAGTGTCAAAAGAGTGAGCTTTGGTGTTTGAGACGTGAAGGAGAAAGATGAATCACAGAACCACATGAAATTAGGTTGGTTTGTTTTATCGAAAGTATTTTTTCAAAAAAATATTTTTCATAAAATGAATTATACTTTCTAAAAAATATTTTACGGTGTTTGAAATATATTGTGTAAACTATTTTTCACTGGTTGATGAAATTTTAGAAATTATTTATTATAAATATTAAATACAATAAATAATAATATTATTTTTAAAATATTAGATAATTTATTTATTATTATTAAAATATTATTTTATAATTTACTAAATATATAAAAATTTTAATATTAGTATATTCTAATGAAATATAAATATTATAAACTATATTCTTTATTTATTAAAGTAATAATATTATATTATATTTTAAATATCTTTATTAAAATATTATTATATTAATATTAAATACATAAGTAATATTATTAATTGTTAATAATTTAATAATATTATTTCTGTAAAATTAATAAATAATATAAATTTTATTAATAATTTATTATATATTATTAAAATATAATATTTTATATTATTATATTATTAAAAATATAGTATTATATTATTAAAAATATTAATAAATATATTTTAAATATTTTAATAATTAATATTTTGATTAAAATGATATTAAAATATTATATTAATATTAAATTCATAAAATAAAATTATTTTAAGTATTTATTATTTAAAGTGAAAAATTCGTAAAATGACTTACGGAAAATCAATTTCCTTAAAAATATTTTACGTTAACCAATCAATTTCCTCTAATAAAATACTGAAAAATACAAAATATATTTTAAAAAGTGTGTTACATGATACAAACAGACCTTAATTAAAACTCGTACAGAAAAATAGAATCTTTAATTGTCGATGATAATGGTCGTAAATCATAGGATGAAAAGAGGATCAAGTGTGGATCTTGCCTGTGAACAGCCTAACATATGACGGTGAAATCTATTAGAAAGGCCATGGCACGTGATCATGTTTTTGGTTCCACTTCTGTAGAAAATAGAATATGTATTGGTTCAGCAATAGCATATCCATTTACACTTGTACTTAATTTAAATAATTCAAGGTTTAAGGTCACGTTGCTATTAAATTTATAAATTTCGTCTTTATCATATTTTCGCATTAATTTTACCCTCAAAATTATTTAATTACATCAAATTATATAGTTGACTTTTTGACTAAAAGAACCGTTAATTTTTGCTTATATGGACGCCAACTGTGTCCACATCAAAGGACTAAAGTTGTGATTTATCATTTTCTTCTACTACCCAAAACTACGTAATTTTAGAAGCAAATATATATTACCATTTTAAGTTTCCTCCCCATATTTTTTCATTTTATTTATTTCTTTCTCTAAGTCTTTCACATGTGCTCTGAAGTCTCAGGTATGGTTGCTTCATCAGTCAGTCACCGGCCACCTTTGATCGTCGGTGACCACTGTGTCAGTCATTGTCGCCGACCACCGTTCAGGACCCAAAATACATCAACAAATCTGTCTTGTGCTCCTCTTCAGAAATCTAACCTTCGATTACTTGAATACATCGTCGATTATCATATGTTTAACGAAAACCAATCGATTTTCTCAAAACAAAATACTTTATTTCGTCTATACAACCGTCCGATGGAGTCATCTTCACATTATGTTGCTCCTTGTTGCCATTTCAACCTTTCCACTGCATGGATCTTTCAACCGATGTCTAGATTGTCGGAAAATATCAAGCTCACCCTTTGACCTTTCTATTTTCTCTTGTTATTGTTTTAACTTGTGTTGATTTTGAATTTGTTACTTTTGTAGGATGTAACGTAAAAGATAAGGGCGGCTATAGTTGTCGATGTTGTCGCCTTCAATTTTTTAAGTAGATGGGTATCGATTGTAGTAGGTCTTTGAACCATCGATTGGGTGGTATTGACGAATTGATTAGGTTCGATTTACTGTTCTGAACCTTCAATTTGGACTAATTTTTTACAGTAATGAATTGGAAAAAAATTGCTAGAATAATGGGAACCAAAATTATTTGTTTGAATAATGCATATGCCTCAGTAACTTATAAATCGCAAGGAACACAAATGAGACTCCAATTGGGAGACACATTGTGCTCCAATTTTGTTTTTAATTTTTTTGGCAATAATAGTCAAAATTAAATACAAACCTTAAATCCTAAATCTTAAACCCTAAATGTTAAACCCTAACCCCTAAATCATACATGAATCTTAAATCCTAAACTCTAAATCTTATACCCTAAATATAGACCCCAAACCTTAAAATCAAAAAAAAAAAAGAGATGCATTGTACTCCATGTGTCTCCCTCAAAATTATATTAGAATCATATTGTACTTCACGTATCTTAAATTGTACAATAGTAAAAACTCTATTTCAGAAAATAATTACAGCTGACCAATTATTCGAACCAATAAAAAATTCCAACCCGTTATCTAAAAGATTACTCCCTTCAATTCGTGTCTCTAACATTTAATTTATTTTTTGTCCATATTTTCTTTGTCAACATTAACATCATTGTAAAGGTGCTCATAATCATCGTATTCTCCACCTAAAAAAATTCTCGTTAGCAACAGCCGAGATTACTTCGTTTCTATGGAACTGATCCAGGTGATCCCCTTCTTTTCCTTCATCCATCTTCCCCTCTCCTTTCCTTCATCCATCTTCCCCCTCAAAGATTCCAAAAATACAAAAAAAAAAAGACTGCAAGTAATTCAAACATAATTTAATCTATTACAGAGGCAGCTGTGACCCTTAAGCCATAATTCAAACATCAAGTAATTCAAAAACAACTGATTTTTCGACCTCATTCATGAAGTCGTTCAA